ACACACACACACACACACACACACACACACACACACACACACACACACACACACACACACACACACACACACAGTGTAAGAGAAATCAGAGCGCTGGAGTCGATAGAATGTTCTCTCCTATTCACACAGATTCTTCAGTGTGAAGGTAACCTTTCCCTTCCTCCCTTTATCTTCATCTGTGTACCACCTTCTCCCCGCGACGTTTCTCACCTACTTTTCTCTCGCCGCACAAAAGGACACCCTCGCTTAAAAAGGTGAGCCTGCAATGAGATGAAATTTAATCAGACAAGAGAGGGGGACATTCAGCAGATCGCCAAAGGGAAGGAACCAACACGCTTTTAAAAGCAGTCCGAGGGACAGCCGACCCGACGGAAAAGGCCCGTAATCAAAACATAACTGTAACTGTCCGCTACAAAGTAATACCCACTGACAAACTGAATTGCCTACTTTTCATGCCACTTGTGTCATCAAGTGTTTTGCAAGGCAACGAAAATAGCCGGGAAATCGTTTACCAAGGCGGTGGACGGCCTGTGCAGTCAGCAAAAACAGGTGACGGGTCATGAATTCTGTTTTCCTCAGGGAAGGAAAATAAAAAAAAAGAAGAAGAGGATGAAAAATACTTCTGAGGGGATGAATGATAGAAGAGCCACGTTGGTCCTTAAAGCCTGACGCGGTGAAAACACACCGTGTGTGTGTGTGTGCAGAGCTCTTGTGCAAAACGCTTCCAGTGTGTACGTTTGTGTTCCTGAAAAGGTTTGCATTCAGGTTTTGTGGTTATTGTGTGTTGGCTTTCTACGCGTCTTTAAAGAGACGGTTGCTAATAAGACCGCTTAACGGCAACACGCCGAACACTCGTCCGCCTTTAGCTCAGAGGCGGCGCTGCGAAGTCACGTGACTCTGGTGTAGTTCATTTATAGCCTAACGTTAGCTTTTTACTTATAGCGATTGGATTTACGCTTCAAAAATCCTAAAAGTAAAGTTTAATACTGATGGCCTTCATAAGTAAACAAGACCATCAGAGAGAAGATTGGCGCTTTCTATTTAGTTATTCTTAACGGTGGTCATCGGTGCCAACCGGTCGGATGCTGTGCAGAATCAGAACAAATCATGCCGGTTCTTTTCCTCTTCTTCCTCTTCGTCCTCTCCTCGTAATTCTACAAACTGTCAGAAAAGTGTGAATGGCCATCACAAGTTCTTTGAGCTCAATATTATATTATATATTTCAGTCTTCTTATTTTGTCCAAAACCCAAAGACATTAAATAACGTCACAAACACATTGTGAAGTCGGAACCAAACAAAGAATCACGTTTGCTTGATAAACGCCTCAAATGATTAAAGAGATATTACAATTATTGTTGATTCCTTTTCTGAAGATCTAACTTACAAATGAACTAATCATTTTAAGCACTGGCCTGTCCTGCTACGTGTTTAGGGTCTATTTAGAGTTTGTGGCCTCGAGGTGAGCCTGTAATAAAAGCCTGGAGCTGCAGCAGGACCGCGCTACAAATAAAACCCCACCTGGGACACGAGGACCGATCTCCTTTCATTTACAGACCAAGTAACTCAGTTTCAATGATATCTTCATAAGGACTCTAATGAGACTAAACGGTTAGCTCGGATCAGAAATCAACCAAGCACGTTGAGATGCAGTTGATCTGTCCGATGCAGAGTTTGCTTCAGGCCTTTAAACGCACCAGATGGTTCAACTGCAACACGACTGTTCACGGAGTGTCAGACAAGAAAACACACACACACACACACACACACACACACACACACACACACACACAGAGGAGTAATTTGACTTGCAAATATACATCAGTGTGATTGTCGACACGTGCAGACTCTCGACGTGTTGTTTGATCCTGCAAACGAGATTAAGAAGGTGTAAACAAGATGTGGGAGAAAACTTTCCACCCTACTTCATTTTTAGATCCGATTTTTCGACCCCAACGGTTTGAGTGTAAAATGAGCAGCACCAGTCCAACACGGATTTACACACAATGTCAACAGCTGCATCCGATTCCAGCGCTCACACATCAACAGAGGACAATGTCTCCCTCGTGTGGATGAACAGAGGAACAACAGGTACAGAAGAAACGGCTCACTCATGTGTTTTACATCTCATTACCATACAACTTGTAAAAGACCGTGATTAAGCCTTCTCTCTCTCACACACACACACACACACACACACACACACACACACACACACACACACACACACACACACACACACACACACACACCAGCCTCGAGGCGAAAACGTTCTGCACACAACAGCTTTCGGAGGGATTTGGGGGGGAAATTCTCTCCGGTTGATGTAATTACGTTCCATCGGTCACTGTGTCCGCGGGCAGCGCAGCACTAACGCTTTTATAAACGCCATTTCCTGAGACAAGTTCATTTCACCTCTTTGCATGCTGCCAAGTCAACTAAAGCATAAATATCAGTAATTTTTCTGAGCACGTTTGGGGAAATATTTTCTCTGTTAAATGCTTAGAGAAGTCTGTTTAACACTGAAAAGCTCCTGAAGGATTTGTTCAGATCCAGGAGATACAATGTTGTGACATTTCATTGTTATAACGTTGCACATTGTTTTCCTGCATCTTGTTATTGTGGACTTTTACTGCCACCTTCAGCTTAGCAGCATGTTAACATTCAGCATCACAGCGACACGTGTTCACACGTTTGACTCCGTCAGGATTCAGACCAGCTGACGTCACTCGCTCCTGTAATGACTTCACGTCTTTGATTAGTTGTTGAGTCACGATGCTGTTATCTTGTGCTGGAGAGATTTAGTTGCAACTTGGCAAAATTTCAGCAATTTGTTATCTTCCAGATACACTGGGAACAGCAACATGTGGTCACTTACCACAAGAGCAATGAAGTGGAGCTTTGAGCTTGTAGTTCTATTATTACAGAGTAAATTAGGGGGGGCATATATAAACAAGACAAGCTTTTATGTACAGTACCTTGAAAAATAACTAATTTTCATTTCAATACATTTTTACAACTACATGTTTTTTTTTTTCTTTCATTCTTCTATTTGGTGTCGGTCCATCACAAGGACCTGAGACAGGAGATAAGCTCCAGCTTTGACCAGTGGTCTAGTTTTGGTGGCATGTAGAATCTTTACCGTGAATTTAGTTTCGTGTGTTTCTTTGTTGCTCACCTGTGTTATTAAGCGTCGTCTTCGTCTGCTCTGCCAGACACGTTCCTCACAACGTTGGCACTCTTCACTGCAGGTACTGAATTGAGTAACTCAGCCCTACCGTGCGTGTGACGACAGGGCGAGACACTAAATGGGACTCGACTCGTCTCAGGAAGTGCTTGAATCCAGCTCCATCACCTCGACACCAGCTGAACGCTCCAATACCAACCTCTTCAACAAGAAATCAAGACATATCACCGACATTGTTTACAATTTTATTATCGTCTTTTTTTTTTTTTTTCCTGGTTGTCAGATAAAAGCAGATAGAGAGAAGCGGAATAATCAGAAACGGCGTGCAGCTTTGGGGTTCCCGTCCAAAGCCGGACGAGAGAACTGTCTGAGGTTGAGTTTACATCATAAACACAGGGTGGACCCCCCCCACGTCATAAATGCTACATAACACTGTGCACATTTTTTAAACAGTCACAACAGCGGCTGCTGACACGTTAATGACAGTCGGCCTGTCACGGAGATATTCTGAGGTAAGCTAGAGTTGGCTAGTGTTGTACTGAGCTAATAAACATCTACGTAGTGTGGGTCAGTGACTGCGTCACTTCCTGCTCGCTCATCTCTACCTTGGCATAGCTTTGGCATTACGAGGTAACGTGGCGGCGCCCGAAGGCGTCCGGAGTCCATTTCATGAACGTTGAGGGAGTAGCTCCCGAGGCCTTGGGCCGCTAAGTACAAGGGGAGCAAAGGTACGCAGAGTTTAAAGTCAGCTATTCAAGTTTGACAAAGAACAGTTTCTACATCAGGTCATCTAAAGGAAAAGCACCCACAGACGTGTGTATCCTCTGGGTTATGTACAGGTCTAGGCCCAGTCTGATTATAGTGAGATCCACTTCCAAGTGCAGCTTTGCAGTCATACAAACGTACAGGAGCTTAAGCTTTAGCTTATTCCAACAGGAGAGAAGGTGCTTGTAGCGCGTAGGCTGACGCATTGTTTTCCATCACATTTTGTTTTTAGCGTTCTTTCAAACGTAAAAAAAAGAAGAAGATAAAAGAAAGCGAGTAGACTTGTGTATCTCGTCTAGCTTCACTGGCTGAGTTGAGGTTTGAGACGTGAACGTTGAAATGAGGATACACTACAAAAAGGACCAAACGGCAGCATTCAGTATAACAAAGAAGACGAGATACTGTGATATATTGCTAATATAAAAAGGTATAAATAACACATCCTGCTTTGGTTAAACACAGTTAAGATGAAAGAAAAGGAAGATGAAGAAAGTAAAGCACGTGTTGAGACAATTTATCGCTGTCCTTTATCCACCGGTTTTGGGATTACCTGAGATTCCAGTTGTCCCTCAGGGCGCTTTTTTTACGGATTCCGTAGCAACAGCACTCGTTGATTGATTGACCGACCGATTGGATCGACCGATTGAGGTTAGAGTCTCACGAAGGTGTTCACATCACCCGAAACTAGATCCTCCACCACCACCACCACCACACCCAAACACACCTGACCTGCAGGCTCAGCACACTCACTCACTCTTTTTAAAAAGGCTAACAGAAGGCATGTAGCGAAGAAACGAAGAAAAGGCTTAGCTTAAAACGGGCGAGGTATCCATTACATAATCCTCCCTCTAAGGAATTTAGGCTTTTTAATACCATCTTGGAATGCACTATATATTGATATATATATACTGTATATTGCCGTTAATATAAGCAGGATTACTGTTGATAAATACAGTGGCCTCCTTACTATAGAGGCACCTCAGCGAGCTTTAGCACCCTTCTCCCTTTGACTCTTGGGTGCGATAGCCCCCAAAAGGCTCTACATGGTTGGAGGAGGAGACGCTTTTTCCTATTTAATCTCATTAAAATTCAAATATGATCCAAACTCCACCAGCTTTGGTCACTCTTCATCCACAGTCTCCCTTTTTGAATCCTCCTCCTTGCGATCCGGGACCTGAGGGGTGGGGCTCGGCAGGGCCGCAGCCTCCGTGGTGGCCAGCGAGGAGGAGTCTTGTTGGTCAATGATCCTGTGGGAAGAGGCGTCTTCCTGTGGAGGAGCAGGGGTGCATGTATGAGCGAAACATCTGGATTCTCATCGCTTGATTAGATACAACAGGTAAAGAAAACTAATTAACTTTCATGAACTACAGACACAAAGGGTTACAGTTCCAAGACGAAAACACGGACAACTCCCAGACTTACCTGCTCTGAGAAGCGGTGATTCACCTGGTCGGCGAACTCGTGCATCTCTCCCTCTTCACCATTAGAGTGGCAGCTCGGACTTGGCACCTCGATTCCATGGCTTTCCAAAATGGCAGCTTCTGGTTGTGTTAGACAGGGAAGTAAGGAGTAAGAGAGACACACATGGCTCCTCCTGTGACTCTTCATGTACATGTCATGACGCTGAAAACGAGGCTTTTCTTTTGGAGGTACACACACAGGTCATCAGGTCCTCACCGATATTCGCTCTTCTCTTCATCTCCTTCCGACGGTTGGCAAACCAGTTGTACACCTTCAACGCCGTCACGCGCTCAAACTCAGACAGCTTACAGCCTGGGCGATGAAAAACACAACAACACGTCACCCACAAAATGACCTCTTGTATATCACTGAACCACCTCGTGGCACCTTGAATTCTTGAGGAAAACTTCTCACACATCCACGGTGAATGAAGAATTTACAAAACGGGGGGAGTCTTGATGAATGGAAGTAAACGGGGGCTGCAGCGAAACTATATCGAAACATCCTTTCACAAACACAGCCGTGCAGTATGATCCAGGTCTCATTCATCCCAAACGTTTTTGCTGAAACCTTTGTATTTAGAACTCTTCTGCATGAACAGTCTCACGCTTGTTCAGGCTCGCTACTCGTCCGTGTGAGTTCAAAGTGTTGTTAAACAGGTTTTAGTGACCAGACGACTGGATGAATGAGACTCGGATCCGACCGCACGACTTGCGATACAGTTTGTAAACAGATATTTTGATGCAGTTTTTGTACTCGACGTGCAATTGGTCTTCTTGGCCGGATCGTCATTGAAAAGAGAAACACAATCTCTACAGGTTTTTTTCTGGTCGAATAAAAGGTTAAATTTTAAATAAAACTCAAACAAAGAATGTGGTATAAATACTTCAAACTCACAAAAACTGACAGCAGTAAATCTCGTGTTTTCTCTACGAGTGAACAAATTCACACTTTATATCTATTAAACAAAAGACACATTTAAATGTAAATACTATTTAGTTTTAACGGGCTTCACACTGAATAACATTAAAAAGATGACATGCAACTAATTATTCTTATTATCACTATCTGTCAATTGACTAAATAATGAATAAAATAGTCTTTTTAAGCCGAGTATGCAGAATGCTTCTGATGAGACGATGTAGAGCAGCAGCTCGTTACACTCGCCTGGTTTCTGAATGACGGAGTTACAGGCGTTGGCGATCTCCTCTCGCTTGGCTTCGTCTGGGTACTGGTTCTCCATGAAGAAGCTGTGAGACACAAACAGTCACGGGATTAAAATCAGATTGCATCACAGCGGGGCTCGAGATGTAGGACGTCCCGTCGTCCCGGTGCTGAAAAAAAAAAAATAGGATCAAGGAGGATGAAACTTCATTTTAGGAGAAAGAGAAAGAAATACCCTGCAAACGTTAGAATATATGAAAATAACTACACGGTTTGTGTAGCACACACGTCTTATCAAAGCTCTTTGATAACATGAATACACAGCACATACTGCACACCCTTTTGATGTTTTATTGAAGTTAAAAGTCACTTGAGTCACGTCTTAGTATTGAGCCACAGGAAGGTAAGAACAACATTAACACAGTGGAAGAGCTTCAGGAGAGTCTTCCTCGGCCTCCAGATCCTCTGGTAGAAAACAAAAATGAATAAATCATTTTTGTTTTTCATGTCTAGTTTCTTTATAACCTGAAAGGCTGAAAAATTATCATTAGCTCGCATTACAAAACACACAGATCAATTTCTTCTTCCAGCCCACACACCTTCACCTCTGCTGTACCGTCCTTTGGTGTAAACTAGCTCACGGGGATCAGCACTGCAGTGGGATTGCGTAATCCTGGGGGCCCTGCTGGTGAGTGCAGTGCGAGGGCCGGTGTGGTCTTATTACTGAGAGTGCCCACACTGCGCCCGATACTTACAACAAGCACGGAACAGAGAAAATCAATCGCACGCAGCCGGCAGGACGGCCGACTCCTCTTTCTCTGCATCCTTCTTACTCACTGAGGAGTCTGGGACAAATATAACACGAAAAGAGACAAAACACAGCTAATAAACGCCACAACAGTGAGGCACACAGCACACTCGGGTTACTAATATTACCTCAAGCACTGCGGCATTCCTCTCACATGCGACTACGACTATGACTGGAGGGTTGAACCAGAGCCGACGTGTTCGTACTTGTCTGGAGACGGCAGCTTCTTGCAGACCTCAGGTGCTCCTGATCAACTTTTTATTAATGTAAATAAAGAATCTGTTCATTTTAGAGCTGAAACGCTATGTTTGATCAACAGAAAATTAATCTGTTTTGATAACTGATTAATTGTTGAAGCAAAAATACCAAACAGTCACTAGTTTAACCAATGTTTGGAGGACTCGCTGCCTTTCTTTGTTTACAACACTAACAATGTGTTTATTTGTTTCATTGGCTTTCAGCAAACTGTCACACTTTTCATTAAGTAACAGCCTCCTTTTATATAACAAGTACAAAAGAGAGCTGAAGTCATGACGTCACATCTCAATCTCTCAGTCAGTATTTATCTCATCCGTCTTTGTTTCTTAAATGAAGCATCTTCTATTTAGTATGCTGGAAAAACATCAAGTATGTCGCAACAACTAGAATGTCAATGCAGCATGCCGAACATACCAGGATGTCCTGCTGCATTTTGCAGTATGCTTGTCTGGCTGTTCTGACCCACAATCCTTTGCACAGAGGAAGATGCATCACATCGACCGATGACTCATAGACAGATATCACGTAAATCGGATGTATGAACAAGAGGGTCAAAGTTATGACAAAGTAGGACGTCTGTATTGTCTGCACACTGCACGCAGCAGTAGGTACTTTGTAAAGGCAGCTGCAGTATGTACGCAAAGTATGTACAAAGTACGCAGTTAAGAAAGGACTTGCTCACCTCTCCATGATTGATTGGCACTCCTTCCTCCAGGTGAACCTGCTTCCTCTGCGCAGCCTCAGAGGCCCGCCCACCATCCCGGCTCTGTCGCCGGCCATGATCCCCGTCCTCCAATCGGGCTCCTCCTTCACCAGGGACCGCATCGACAGGGTGGCCCCTGAAAGAAGAGAGCGCAGGCAGCGATGTAACCGTCGAGCGTTTATGGAAACAGAGGCGGTGTTTACACTCCAGCTTCCTGTCGCACCAGCTGAACAAAAAAAGCCGCTAAGGCGACATGAACTGCTACATTGTGACTAGTTCGTTTCACTCAAAACATTGTTGGAGTGAGGGACGTTTCCCGTTACATGTGCAGTTACTTTTTAACATTACCGCCGATAGCAAGCAAGAGAATAAATATATTTGTATCTTCTAAAGCCTGAATTCTGTGCTTTTTAAGAGCTGCAGATGTCCTGTTGTATCCTATAATTCCTACACTATGTTCACACTAAGCTACGTTTGACCTTACACATAGCTGGTGTGACAGCCTGCCACTATGGCAGAGCAAGGAGCATTAATAGTATGGAGAAGATTCATTTGTAGCATCCGGAGTTCAAACCTCGGAGTTTATCTCTGCCATTTGAGTCTGTTGAAAGGCATCCCAAGCTACAGGGCGAATGGCATGCATGCGTCTCCCTGCGGCGAGCTGCTGAGGCCGGGGGTGGGGGAGGGGGCAGGTGGGGGGGGGGTTTACCTGGCTGGGCCTGGGCGGCGGCGGCGGCAGCAGTGTACCACGGCAGCAAGTGCATCAGTAGCTCTCTCTGCCTGCTCCACACGGGGTTGGGGTTGAGGTTGGTGTTGGGGTTGGGGAGGCAGCCACTCGCCCCCGCCACCGTCCTGGGCATGGGACTCACGCTGTGCTGGCTTTCACTCCACCTCAGCCCTTCAGTCGGGACAAAACCAACGGTCAGGCGGGCCACAGCCACGGATTAGGTCATGGACACCAGTTTAAGCTAATTGGAAATTGAGAGTTATTTGGGTAATGTGACACACTCCTGCGGACCTGCCTGGCAGCTTCCAGCCGAAATAAATGGAACAACAAATGGCTGCTTTATCGTGTTTTACATTGTATCCGCCGATAAGAAGTCAATTTGACTTTGTTGAGCTTTGTTTTTAGATTCACGGTGGGCAGGTCAATCGGAGTCTATATCGGATGCAAAGCATTGTGGCCACCGAGGAAATTAGTTATTGTTAGTATCGCTGTTAATAACCGGTTTGTTAGGCATGTAGGAATGAAAACCAGCACCAGAGTACCTCCAGCATCAGGGCTGAGAACTACAGACGAGCTACGGCAAAGCTTGGGTGGGGATATAAAGGATTAGGATGAGGGGAGACGGCAGGGTCGGCAGAAGGTCCATCGGCGGTTTGTTTCATAGAACTCATAATGTAAAAATGAAAACGTCCGATATGATTTGAAACGTCTGCCTGACGCAGACCAATAAAAGCTCCGAGCATCTTTAGTGTTGTATCTGTTTAACACCAGACCAGTGTGTTTTATATAAGTATCCATGCATCCTAGGACATGGAGAGGTCGACACCTACCCGAGCTGTTACTCTACCCCGGACAGACAAACCGTGTTCCCCCGCTACGGTTTCACTTCCAAACCAGAAGGCCTGATCCTATCGATTAGCCTCTCCTGTGACAGAACTACCGTTATCCTTCGTCTTTCCTCTGAAATGTAGAGATTCGTCTCCTGTCCTTCCTCGACCTCGCAGCACCTCGAGGGCTGGGATGGAGTTAGCGTGAGGAATTAGAGGTGTGTGGGTTTACCATGCAGGAGGGGGGGGAGGCAGAATAGCAAGCAGCGGTTCACATTCACTAAAAAAAAGTTCTTATCAAGCCTTCCTTCATCATCTAATCTATCATCATTAACCCGACACTCAACCTTGAGGCGCTGATCTGCACTTCTTCTCATCATCAGTCCTCCTGTACCGAGCATCCATCATCCTAATGATCTATAATCCCACTCCCCTGCTCTGTAGAAGTCAAACTCCACACCGTGTCTGAAACATGGTCCTGCCCCCCCCCCCCCCCCCACCCCCCAACGCAGGCATCAGCCAGAGC